TGAGGCGCACCTTAGTCCTCAAGCTGACATCTTTGCTCTTCAACACTTTAAAAAGTTCCTGTGCAGCAGATTTGCCCAATGCAACACGTTGTCTGATCTCTTGACTGCTGCTTCTGTGAATGTTGATAGTTGATCCAAGAAGAATGAAGTCCTTGACAAGTTCAATCTTTTCTCCACAGATAAGAATGTCATTTATTGATCCAGTGGTGAGGATTTTTGTTTTCTTGATATTGAAATGCAATCCATACCAAAGGCTGTGCTCTTTGAACGCTGAAGAAATTAAGCAATCCCAATTTTGAAATGAAACAAACTGGAAACGTTTTATTTGATGGACTGCTTAAATCCCTAGTGTTCTTCTTTATCTTAATTATTGTTGTAAAAGTAAAAAAATAGAATGTAGGAAAAAGTCAAACCTTCTAGTTTATATTCTTTGAGATTGCTTTGCTTATTTCTACATGATTCGTACCAAGTATTCAAGGATCGTTCAACATTAGGAAAACCATCAACTTAATCCATAACATAAATAAAGGGGGCAAAAAGCAAACAATTATATCAATTGATGTGGAAAAGATATTTGATAAAATCCAGCACAAATTCCTGAGAAAAACTCAGCAAAATAAAAAAGGAAAATTCTATCAGTCGGAACTGACTCAATGATATTTAACAACAACAACAAAGTCTGTAAGAGTAGTACCCTTCATAAAAATTCATCAGTATGAAGCTAAAAGGTCAAGTATTTCCTGAAAGAGAAAAATTATAATTTGACTATAAAATGATAGTGGGTCCACATGTACAAGGTATGTGCCAAAGAGGTAAACAGTAACAGATGGACAGTGGTGAATGACATGCAGCTGGTCTCACAAGACTGTAGCTTCAACAGTTCTTACTGACCTGGGAGCAGAACGGCAATTAATGTCTTGTGTTAATGAGGAGCTTTGGATATAGTGTCTCCAGTGATACAGACACTGCAATTAGTCTGCCAGTGACATCAGATTTAAGAGTTCTTCCTATTTAACAGGTAGAGCACATGACGCTCTTTCTTGAGATGACAATTTTGACCTGGAGTCTGGAGCTTCACACAGATCTTCAGTGTCTACTGAGGACAGATCTTCAGTCTTCTACATGCAGAACAGATGTCAGCCATCATTGTTCAGGGATGCCAGAAAGGTAACCTGAAGTCTGCTAGTTAATGATTAGAAAGCAGGACAGGTGTGTTATGTCCAGAACTTCCAGGAGAATGCTGAATGTGAAGAGTGTACATGGAAGAAATGATGGAGCCAACACTGTCATGGGATTCTTGTTTGTCTATAAGTTTCTTTGTATCTTTGCATGAATTCTCATTCCTCTAGTCTCTTGCTCCATATCTACAATCGCAGATGATTTTCATATTGAGCAATAACCTAACCTTTGTCAAACATGATCACTGCTACAAAATTCTCTGACATTTACTTGTATTCTGTGGTGGTGATGGTAGAGGAGGATGTGTCAGATACATTTTTCTTAACTTCTTAGTTCTTAGTACATATTTCATTATCTCTACTGCCTGAACCTTATCTCTGGGGAAGAAGGTATAGTCCAAGATGGATTCATCAAGCAGTTTGCCAAGTCTATATATTTCTATTTTAAAAATTACTAAATATTTTAAATGATTATAAAAGAATAGACAGTAAAAATTAAATTGCCATATCCATTCTTCTACTACAGTTAATAACGATTGACCCTCTGCAAAAATATTTTAGATCTCTTTTTCTTTCTTTTTAAAAACATTTAAATAATATGCACACAGAAGATAGCCCTTTTGGTTTCACCTCCATTCCTCTTTTTTTTCCAATGCTACTGCAGCAGGTGGTTGTCTATTGACCACACGTTTCATTGTCTTATTACCCCATCTTTCCATCAGCTTCATCAATACTGAGCTCAGAAACAAAACAGATACATTACAATTGATTCTCCTGGGACTGACAGAGGATCCAGAACTGAAGCCTCTCATCTTTCATCTATTCCTGATCATGTATCTGGTCACTGTGCTTGGAAATCTTCTCATTGTATTGGCTGTCAGCTCTGATTCACACCTGCACACACCCATGTACTTCTTTCTCTCCAATCTTTCCTTTACTGACATTTGTTTGAGCACAACTACCATCCCAAAGATGCTGGTGAACATTCAGAAACGGAATCAGAGCATCACTTACACAGGATGTCTTTACCAGATTTTTTTTGTCCTAGTTTTTGGTGGCTTTGAAAATTTTCTTCTTGCAGTAATGTCTTATGACCGTTATGTGGCCATTTGTCACCCATTGAGGTACACAGCCATCATGAATCCCTGCTTCTGTGGCCTGTTGATTCTACTTTCTTTGTTTTTTAGTGTGGTGGATTCCCTAATCCACAGTCTGATGGTTTTGCATCTATCCTTCTGTACAGACCTGAAAATCCCTCAGTTCTTCTGTGAACTTGCTCAGGTCCTCAAGCTCACCTGTTCCAGTACCCTCATCAACAACATCCTGTTATATTTTTTGTCATGCATTTTGGGAGGTGTTCCTCTTTCTGGCATCATATTCTCTTACACTCAGCTTGTCTCAGCTGTTTTGAGAATACCGTCTGCTGGTGGAAAGTATAAAGCTTTTTCTACCTGTGGGTCTCACCTTTTTGTCATTTTATTATTCTATGGAACATCTATGGGTGTGTACATCAGTTCTATATTTACACACTCTTCCACAAAAACAGCAGTAGCCTCAGTGATGTACATTGTGGTCCCTCAAATGATGAACCCTTTTATCTATAGCCTAAAGAACAAAGACATCAAGATGAGCTTGAGAAAACTCATTGGTAAGATGCCTTCTTTTCCATTACTGTATCATCTGTGACAATTCATGAATTACAAAAATCATCACTCATAAAATTTGCCAGAGAATGAGAATCAGCATCATCTGATTCAGTTTCTTCATTTACAAAATGACCTAATTATATTTTCTCAGTGGTTTTGGTGGTTGTAGGCCATTTGAATATCATCAGTGAAGAAGTCTGTGTTGTTAACACTTTGAAAGCTCTCAGACAATAAATTCTTCAAAAAACAGAGTGTTATTTCGTTTTAATGTCTTAATAGTTGGGGAATGAACAGAAACATGACAGCAATCCTCCATGTGTTGCCGTCACATTAGGACTAATGTCACATTAGGACGATAAGTTTCTCTTATTGTCTATAGATTGCTGTAGCAGATGCAAGATATAATAAGACAGAAACAACTCATACAGAGAAAAAATTTTGTGTTGTATCTGGACCTATTGTTAGTGGACATTTTGATGTAGTTATCATAAAATATTTACCTGTAGCTGGTTAGGCAGTTGCTTCTATAATTATGTTTTCACATCCTAATTCTTTGACTGTATGCAAGCTATGGATATATTCCAGGATAAATGCTATCTTAATTTGACAAAGGGTATTGGTTGTTGTTGTTAAGGAGCATTGAGTCACTCTAGAATCACAGTGACATTATGCACAACAAAAGTAAACATTACCTGGTCCTCAGACATCTTCACAATTATTACACTTAAGTTCATTGCTGCTTCTGCTGTGTAAATCCCTCCACTGATGATCTTAGTCATTTCCTCTCTCCCTGCCTGCCCCTAAACACTATAGCAAGCATCATGATGTTCTTCCCCAGTGTCTGGTAACTACTGAAAATATGTCCAAAATATGAAGTCTTGCCATTCTCACTCTAAGGTGCATTTTGACTGCACTTCTTCCAAGACAAATGCATTTCTACACCTGGAAATCTATGATCTTTTAGGGATTTAAACCTGGAGTATCCTGATAATTACAATTGCAATCTCATTCTTAGAATATAGACAGAGCAAGTGACACAGAGAAAAGTAGGAAGCAACAAGACCACAGAAAGAAACATGGGGTAATATAACCAAAGGCCAAGAAAAACGTGTATTCAACATGGTATTTATAAAGCTGGAGGAGGCAATGATTACATTCTCCTCTCAAAGTCTTCCAGGATATCACACTCCTGTTGACACCTAGGTTTCAGACTTCCAGCCTTCAGTACTGTAAAACAATAAATTTCTTCTTTTAAGCAGTCAAGTTTGTGATAATTCTTATATGAAAGATAAAGGAAATTAATATATTCTTCCATCATCAATGAGAATAGGATCATCTGCACTTCCTTAATATAATTCCTAAAGTGCTGAATAAATGTTCAGTAGATGAGTTTTACATTGACGATCTGGATTGTAGTTCCATTGGGATTGAACCTAATCATGGCAAGCACTTAGTATAATGCATGTTAAATAGTAAGTATTCAAAATAATTTAGCAGCATCATTGTGTTCCACTTCTTGCCAATATTCAAAAATCATATAATCCTTTTGTTCTTTCATAGTTTTGTGATTATTCCAGAAACTATATTTGCTTACCTTTATTTCAACATCTTTCACATGTGCTTTCTACTTTTATCCAAAAAATCAAATGAATAATTATTGGGAAATCAATGTACAATTTGATAATCTTTTTCTGCCATGTTATTTTATTTGATATATTCTCATTGATTTGTAGAAAAGGATGAAGGTGAGATTTTTCATTTCCCACCTGTCAACTTGTTTTGATGTACTCCTTACTTTTCTCTATAGCATCCACATAGAGACACCTGGTTGAGTAACTTTAATTCAGTCACTGGAGTGATAGAATATCAGCTACAATCTTATTCTACTGTTCAAAGTTCTTAATGTTTCTTTAGGAGAAAAACAGTGTTTCTAGGAACAAAGAATTTACTTTGATTAGAAAATGCATGACTCAAATAGAACATGAGAAAAGTTCAATTGGCAAGAATAGGGAAATTACTTTTCCCACAATTACATAACAGCTATTTTTGATATAAATCAAAATGTTATCTATGGATGTGTAGGAGAAAAATGCGTCTCTCAGAAAGAATACAGAAATTACTAGGAGAGTTTTCTGATCACATATCAGGGATGAAGAGGATAAAGAGAGATAGGGATTCTCATACACTCTGGGATTACAAAATGATGGAAAATAGCATTACGCTTCCCAAAAACAGTTGGAAAGAGTAATATCAAATAGTCTAACAATCCCACTACTAGATGTAGGACATACCTACATACAGAATACACAAGATATGATTTTTTTTATTGTAGTAAAGATCCATTGAGTCGGTCCTGACCCATAACGATATAGTGAAGGGTTTCTGAGGAATGTGTGGTGAGTTTGCACCTCAAATCTTGCACTTTTAAATGACCCGAGGTCAAGTACTTATCATATGGCCCCACACCTAACTTCAAAATATGAATATATATATATATATATATATGGAGCTCTGGTAGCGTA